AGTTGGACTGCTGCAATGTGTTGTATATGGGGCTACCCTTGAAAAGTATCCAGAAGCTTCAGCAGGTGCGGAATGCAGCTGCATGGGCAGTTCTTGGGGCCTCTAGGATGGTCCATGTTACATTGCTGTTCCACGAGCTGCATTGGTTGCCAATTTGCTTCCTGGTTCAAGTCAAAGTGTTGGTCATTATCTATAATGCCCTTCATAGCATGGGTCCAGGTTATCTGAGGGACTGGCTCATCGCAACAAGATTAGCTTGCCCCACCTGCACCAACAGAGGAGGCATGCTGCAGACCCCGTCGCTCAAGGAATTTCGACTGGGAGGGTCCAAGAGAAGAGTTTTTACTGCTGTGGCACCCGCCTTCTGAAACATCCTCCCCCCCCCCGTAAGTTCTGACCCACCCTTCTGACCTTCTGAAAGGGCTTGAAGACTTGGCTCTGCCAGCTGGCCTGGGGTCCCAAGGGGGGAATGGCATTTTTGAAGTGGTTAGTGGATTAGTCAGACCCCATACCTCCCCATTTGCACTCTGCTCCCTTCCCTTCCATTGTAATTAATTTTATCTAAATTCAGTTAATTTAGATAAAGTTAAAAGGGAGCTGCTGGGCATTCCCCATGAATGGCAGAGGTTGATTGATTGTTATTGTTAATTGCAAAGTTGTGTCCAACCCATCGCCGACCCCATGGACAACGTGTTCTATCCCAGCCTATTGCCATGCTTGTTAAAGGCACAAGGACCAAACCTCTGCTGATAAAATAGGCTGGAGACTTTAAAACAAAACAAACCCCTTTTAATGTGGGTGACAAACCTGCCAAATAGTCCGAAACACAAACAGCAAAACTCAAGTCCAAATGAAGGAAATAGTCCACAGGAAACACGATGCAAACAGAAGAGTAGTCACAAGCAAGACGAACAGACCAGGATTCCAAGAAGTATTTTGCAAACAGTTGCCTTCAGCAACCAGCACCGCCCACACCTCCTCTTTTTATGCAGCAGTCCCAAGGCGTTGCCTCTCATTGCCTTCTTCTTTTACTCTGGAGTTGCCATATTGACTGCTGCTGATTTACTCTCGCTAATTGACGTGTGCGAGCATCAATTAACAAGTCCATCAGGTGTGAGTCCTCCGAGTCTGACTCATTCTCCTCACACAGCTGAGCTTCATCAGGAACACGACTGGAGGGCCCAGGCTCTGCATCAAACCGTGAGTCCTGTAATTCATCAGAGCCTCCCTCTGCCCCTGATGGCCCTTCAAATGCCTCCTCCCCCTCCCCCTCAGATTCCTCAGACTCAGCTGTTGGGAGCACAGGCTGGCACGGAATCACAACACAACGTTCCTCCCGGTCTTCCTGTCCTCTACCATCTTATGGAGTCCATTTGAGCTCACGCCTACTGCTTCAGTGACTCCATCCAGCCACCTCATTCTCTGTCGTCCCCTTCTTCTATTGCCCTCAATCTTTCCCAGCATTAGGCTCTTGTCTAGTGAGTCCTTCCTTCTCATTAGGTGGCCAAAGTACTTAAGTTTCAACTTCAGGATCTGCCCTTCTAAAGAGCAATCAGAGTTGATCTCTGGGACTGACCGGTTTGATTGCCTTGCTGTCCAGAGGACTCGCAGGAGTCTTCTCCAGCACCATATTTCAAAGGCCTCAATTCTTTTGCGCTCAGCCTTTCTTATGGTCCAACTTTCACAGCCATACATTGCAACTGGGAAATCTTTTAATTTCTCCTCCAAAAACAGCAAGTTGAGTTGATGCCAAAGAGCTTGATTTTGGTCTCATCTGACTACAACACTTTCACCCAGTTGTCCTCTGAATCATTCAGATGTTCATTGGCAAACTTCAGATGGGTCTGTACATGTGCTTTCTTGAGCAGGGGGATCTTGCTGGTGCTGCAGGATTTCAGTCCTTCACGGTGTAGTGTGTTACCAATTGTTTTCTTGGTTGACTAGGGTACCAGCTGCCTTGAGATCATTGACAAAATCCTCCCATGTAGTTCTGGGCTGATTCCTCAGTTCTCACGATCATTGAAACTCCACAAGATATCTTGCATGGAGCCTCAGACCGAGGGAGATTGACAGTTATTTTGTTTCTTCCATTTGCGACTAATCACACCAACTGTTGTCACCTCCTCACCAAGCTGCTTGGAAATACTCTTGTAGCCCATTCCAGCCTTATGTAGGTCTACAATCCTATCCCTGACATCCTTGCACCATCTTTGGTCTTGGCCATGGTGGAGAGTTTGGAATCTGATTGCTTCTGTGGACAGGTGTCTTTTATATAGGTAACAAATTGAGATTAGGAACACTCCCTTTAGAAGAGTGCTCCTAATCTCAGCTCATTACCTGTATAAAACATACCTGGGAGCCAGAAAACTCACTCCTTAAAACGCAAATCAATTTATAACTTTTTTGAAATGTGTTTTTCTGGATTTTTGTTGTTATTCTTTCTATCACTGTTAAAATAAACCTACCATTAAAATTATAGACTGATCATTTCTTTGCCAGTGGGCAAACGTATAAAATTAGCAGGGGATAAAATAATTTTTTTCCCTTGGTGTAGCAGTTACCTAATTTCATTGTCTATATTGTATATAGACGAATCTTAAATCCTAATTGCTGGGTATATTCTATCACAGGGTTCTCAGTAAATTTGCATTCAGCCTTTCTCAGGACTGGGAACTCCCAACAAAAAGAGAGGTGAGTATGTGACTCTGAAACTGTACCTGAATTTCTTAGCACAAATCAGAAATTTCTTACTATCCTTGGCCTTGGATAGGAGTGGGAGGTGCATGTCACTGCATCTTCTTTTCCTAGCCCTCAAACCCTTTCTTTCTTGGGGACCAACTGTCTGAAGGGCCCAAATCATACATTAACAAAAATCACTAAGGTTGTACACTGTTTATAAACTCTTTGCTTGCTTTCTATAGGAGAAGGAGAAGAAACCACTGAAGGAAGGTGTTCAGGACATGCTTGTGAAACATCATCTATTCAGCTGGGACATAGATGGGTGATTCCTTTATGAGTCAAGTGTTTAGACTTCTTGAATGGCAAATGAATGTTTGACATATATCCTCTCTTCTCCCAGGCAGTTTTCTGGCCCTTTGTGTGTTACATATCTTTCTGTAACCTGCCTCCCTCCAGTAAACTTCTACTAATTACTATTAACATTTGGCAGCAATTTGCTATAGAAGAGGATTGAAGATCCTGTTGTTTGCCCATAGTGCGAACTATAATCCAAGTAGCCTACCTAATGGTGAGCAGTGTTGGCTTCTAAAGGGCCACAGATTTCCCATTCAATAGCAAACAGGAGGAGCATTTCAAGTGACCCAGGTTTTTAGTAGTGTTACTTTACTTCATAACTTATGGCTACAAAGAAATGTGACTTTATATCACTTGGGCCCTGTACTTGTTGAAAACAAACACTTTTACTGACTCATAAATGTATTAAAAAATAATGGCATAACTAGAAAATGAAGGATCCCCCAAGGTAACCATCTAGCAGTTATTACATTTCTTCTGTCCAGGAGAGCAGAGCGATGGTGGAAAGGTTCTGTTGAAATTTGCCTCATTCATGGAAGAGGCTTTATTTTGCAATGCAAAAAATGCAAGCTCGCTTTACTAAGAACGTGATAGTATGGAAATGGTTTTTTTTTTCTTTTTCTTGGTGCTAATATGCACAAATGGCTTTGGTACTGCCATAAAGTGCCTAAAAAGACTGCCCAGTGATTGAGGCTGCCATGGGTATTATAAAAAATAATTGCAATAGCAGTCTGTCCTTTTTTCTGTTCAGCTGGGATCCAGGCTTAATTATTTTACCTAGATCATTTTTTAAATTATTACAAGAGAACTATATTATATTCAGAAATTTATGTATATTTTGACATATCTCTAGAATGGGAAATGGATTCAGGCTTGAGCTGGCTCAGGGGATAACTTCAGCTTCTATCTGTGGGTGTGAGCAGAGTGTGCAGGGCAGAAGCATACTCTTTGCTTCATGGTATCTGTATTAGTCCAAATACAAGAAATGAAGAGCACTAGTGGAGAGCACAATCAAACCATTAAATGAAGATTAATCAAGACTGTATCATTTTTGGCTTATAAATTGATTGTTTATCTTTGTAACTGCCTAAGACAGGCTAAATGGGAGCGAACTTTTATATATACTAGCCTGTTGTTCTTGTTCTTCGTATGAACTACAGAGTATTAGTCTTACTGAGTGGGTCAGGACACTTTTGTACTTATATCTCTATAGACACTGTATACCATGAAAGGGATGAATTATATATCTAGATGCAGTGTTTTTAATTCCATAAATAGTACTCTTACAATCACAGTTTTTTCCACCCTTTCTCTTCCTACTTATGGGAACAGAGGCAAAATATTCAAAAGTAAGATAAAACACAGGTATAGCTAATGCTGGTAGTAGATAAAAACTTGCCACCTAAATTCTGTGTCAATAGCAATACCGTGAATTAGTTCCGTGTTATTAATGTGCTAAATGCCTGTCTGTATTTTCACCATGGCAAATACATGTTATTGATAATGCCATGACCAAAGATAAGATGTACAAAAATGCTAGAACAATTTTTTTAATAAAATGGATTTTTCAAATATCTGTAAATGAAAAAATAATTTGATTTATCATTCTTTACCCTTCCCCAGTGTCTCATTACATATCCTTTTCCAGTTGCGTGTTCATTCTATGTCAATCCAATAGCCCTGCTTAAGACTCCTTCTTATGTTGCTAATTATTTTTGTAGATGGATACAGGAAGAAAATGTGCATGCTGATCAAATATATATTATTCAAATATGATTTTCAGCAGAAAAATGTGTATGTTTAGACTAGAGGCAAATTCTTATTTGCTGTATGGAGTAAAAGGAGAATTTTAGAGAGGATAAATGACAGATACTACTTTATATACTGGAGAAAAATGGACTCTGATGTACATCCCAATTCCCCCTTCCATGATAAGTAATATCTCAAAAGCCTTTTAAGTTCATTAGTAGTGTTCTGTTAAAGCTTTTCATTTTATTTTTGTATTTGCTTATGGTGAATAGTTTCTTCTTTCAGAGACAGGCAGTTGTCATAGCACCTTTTGAGATAAAGTCCTCTTGTTTGATAGCTTGTTTACTGTTCTCAGAATGAGGGAACATGCAAAATGCTCATACTGATCTAACTGCTCCCTCTCACTGATATGGCCCTAATGTAGGTTATACAAGTTTTATTATCCAAACTATCCAAAACTAGCTATCTTTGCAAACTAGCCACTAATCTATATGATTGGTTGCATGTCCTGCAGAATATAAAAGATGAATACATTCAGCAATTCTAACAATCTGATTCCTGCAGAAAGATTTTTACAGAAATCAGCTTTACTTGCAGTTAGCTACTCTAGGACTCTGGCTAGTCACATAACCGCAACTAACTTTTCAAGATGAGGCTCTTCATCATGACGGGTATTAGGATGATATAGGCTCTATAAACTGTTAGAGAATCAGAAGTAAAGGAGTTTTTGGAATTCTGTGAAACTAGAGAAGTCTCTTTTAGTGGGGAAGAAGCTTATGCCAACAGATCCATGAGTTATACATTCTTCTCTATAGAAAGGGAGATTGACTAATAATATTTAATGGCATATGCAAAAAGGTTAAACTGGTAGTTTAAGGGCAAGGTATGTGTTCCAACCCCCAGCCTAAAATGGTTGCTCTGTAACAGTTTTACAAAAAGGAGAAGCTAAAGGAAAGCATCACCTAATAACGATTAATTTCATTAGCTTTCTAGAACAGTTTTATAGAGATATGTACAAGTTTACTAGGTAAAAAATAAAGCCAAGTTTCAAGAGGAAAGACTGGGATTTACAACCACATTTCACAGTAGCAGGGATTATGGCTATGTAAATTTCCTCTGTGTAATAGCACATGCATCTCCATACCAAATGATGTCCTTTTTAGAAGAAAGTTGATGTGTGTGTTCCTCAAGGTTCTTACTGATTGAATCATGTAAAGTGTTAAAATCAGCCAAGCTATCCAAGGAGAGGTACAACCACAACTGCTTTAAATGCAGCGATGCAATAGATTACTTTCCTATGAACCCAGCTGTCAATACAGAGGAAGCTATATTTTCTGTGCAAAAACAGGGAGGACAGCTACCGTGTTTCCCCAAAAGTAAGACCTACCCTGAAAATAAGCCCTAACTTGATTTTTGGGGGTGGGCCTAATATAAGCCCTACCACAAATATAAGCCCTAGTTCGGGGCAAGGCACACACCTAAAAATCAAGTTAGGGCAGCGGTGGGAGTGTGTGGAGCTGCCCACATGCCCTGCACTCTTATCTTGCAGCCAGGCGTCTCCTCTCCAGCCCACTTCTTCCGTGGCGTCCCCAGGCCTACATTTTGCAGTCAGAGGCCTTCCAGAAAGGCCTTTGACTGCGAAGTGCAGGCTGGAGCTCCATTCTCAACTGCAGAATGAAGCTGCTCCATTGGCCGCAGAAGCGGGCTGGTTGGGTGGAACTGTCCGTGCCGGAGGTGAGTGGAAAAGATACACACATACACACCCTGAAAATAAGACCTGCCTTTTTGGAGGCAAAAAAAAAAAAAAAAGTCTGTGTCTTATTTTCTGGGAAACACGATAAATCTATGAATAGTAGGAAGAGCAGGGCTTACAGCTCAAATGCTGATGTTAGACTGCCAACCAGTCAGTTCAGAACTCCATTTCCTCAAAACAGCACTATATTCCATAACTGGAACCATTAGAATAATTTTTTAAAAGAATTACAGGAAGCTGAAAACACTGTACTTTGTACAACGGTCTTGATTCATTGCAAATCTTGGCTGGTAAGATACTAGAACCAGAATAATTGGCCCTCTGTTTATTTTACATTGGGGCAATCCAGAACAATGTTAAACAGCAAGAGCTGTTCTCTTAAGTTATCATATAATGTGGATTTAGCTTTCTTAATAGGCAGGAAGCACATATACTACAGCATTATCAAGAAAAAGGCTATTTTAACTAGACTGTAACCCTCCGAGCTGATTGTAAACTTCAGTATGAATTCATCCTAATTCCCTATTTCCTTTCCCAAATGAGTCATATTCTAAGTGAAAATCTTTACAGTGTGGACAAATTAACTTTTTCCAATTTTTTTTAATGCTTTCCAATTAGACAGATTAATCTCCAGCAAGGAGAACTGTGTTTGCCAATGATTTTTTCTGGATCCTTTGCCTAGAACTGCTCCAACTTCTCCTTTATGTTGAAGTATCTGCAATTACTCATAGAACTCTGATGTAATTGCTAAATGTTTGAGGAAAGAGCCACATTTTGACAAACCACTGGAAAAAGTGGAAGCTTTCCTGAGATTGAATTTTCATTCAGAAAACATCCTGGGTACTTGCCCTTGGCTCTAGCTTTACAAAAACTGGTCAAAATTGGGAAGGGGGGAGAAAAACGGTTCATTAGATGCACTGTTTACTTAAATTCTTGCTCATTTCCTACACCCACCTGTACTCCCTTCAGTTTACTTGGTCAAAAGGTTATAAGCAAGAATCCCAGTGCAGCTGCAAATCATGTCCATCAAGGAAATCTGTGGAAAAGAGGCTAGGGGTTGCAGAACTGAGGGGTGTAAGGCTCATCACTGGCCCCCCTGACAGCTCCAACCAATCCATACTGTCCAAATTGGGTTCTGCCAAGTCCAAACCTGGTCCCCCAGCAGATTCAGGGGCAAAGTGCAATTCTGATGTGTCCATAGGTGATGATGGCTGGTCCAGGATAGCTGAACTGCTTAGCATCTCACTGTAGAGATCAATTAGGGGCTCGGTTCCATCAGGGACTGCCGTCAACAAAGAGAGGCCAGTGGTACTCTCTAAGAAGTCTTCCAGTCTGCCTGGTGGATTAACAGAGCTTGGGTGACTCACAGGCCCCTGCAGACAAAGCTCTGAGGAATGATGATTACTGGATGGAGAAAGGCATTTTGGGGTAACAGTGGGATCTTTCTTTGCTGAGGGAGATTCTTTGAATTGAGCTGAAATCTCTGTTGGAAAAAAAATACAAGTAAATTACTTATTACATGTACTCTAACACTAATGATATAGCCATTAACTCACCACTATTGCAGCACTTCAGGAATTACATACATCCTTACCACCTTCAGAAGATAATGGTGATTTCATATCAGTGACAGGTGAAGCTTTCTCTCATGCATCCATTAGCCATTTCCTCATTCCACTCACTCACTCACCCTTTCATCCTGTTATGCTTCTTCAAGGCACCATCACTTACCTCAAATGTTCAGCTTTCCATCTTTTGGGGAAAACCTAAGTTTCTATTAATTGCCCCTAATCATCAGGTATCTATTTCCCCCAGTTCCCACACATGAATTAGGAATCAAACCTCAAAATGTGACCCAGTATGATCTCAACAGCTTCTGCAGATTCCATACACTGATTGCATTATGTAGTGCTTTTTTTCTACCAAAAAAAAAAAAAAAAAGTGCCGGAACTCACACACACATCATACAACCCGCCTTGCCTACCCTACAAGGTTCATCCAAAAAAGGTGCCGGAACTCCGTTCTGGGCATTCTATGAGAAAAAAAGCCCTGGCATTATGTTTGCACCTTACAACCTTTCTTCCCTTTCTCTTTCATTAGCACCAGCATTATGTGGGAAACCTAAATTTCATAAGAACTGGAGTACTTGCAGATTGCTTCATTCTTCCTCCAGCAGCCTCATGGTAACAAGCAATGGAATTTTAGAGGGGGGAAGGGGGGTGGATGGCACTAAGGGCCTCCAAGGGTATTTTATGGCTTTTCCACTAGTGCTATAAGGAAGAATGGCCCTTCCTCTGTGATTTGATACATAAAGCTGATAGGCACACTCTTTTAAACAATTGGGCTAAATGCAGTAGAAGCCATCAGAATGATAGAAGCCATCCTCTCTTCATACCTCCATGTTCAATTAAAATATCAAACAAATCATCCATTTGCTGACTTGAGCAGCCATTCTCCTAAAAAAAAGAAAGGGAATAGGTTTGTTAATATATTACATTTAATAGTAATGCAGCAATTTATACATTATAATCATCACCCTGTGGCCAAATAATATAAAACGTGATGTGCTCACCCAGAGTTTTACCCATATCTTCCTTTTTGGTATGAAGAGTACATATGAAATATGGCAGAATGTGACCTTCAATGGTGCAAAGTGGATCGATCCAATATAGGAATTCCAAAAATTTTAAGATAATTTGCAAAAAGGATAGATGCGTACCAAGTACTTTCCTAATTTGTCACAGGAAAGCAGTTATTCTCACCTCAGAAGACTTGGGTTGCTGCTTCACAGCCTCCTCATAGCCTGGTGGTTCTTTCATAGCAACTGAGGTGGCAGGGAGAAGCAGTGGTGGCAAAGTGCCAAAGAAGGAAGGGCTCTGCTTCTGCTGCTCAAGGTCCATATGGGGTGGAGAAGGAGGAGCTGGAGAACTTGGCTGTGAGAGAAACTGTGAAGGAAAAACAAGCAATAGGCGGCTGTAATTCTTTGAGACCAACTACAAAGCAAATTTTCAACAAAATGTTTGATGATGTAGTCTGGCTGCTCTAGTTTATACTTTTTTCCTCTTCTGAACAGGATGGCCCATTGTTGTCACTTGTCCTCAATACTATCATTTAGATAATGCAATCTATGCATCCTCCAATTCCTGATGGATTTCTTTCTCAGGAAACTCTATATTCTCTTAATATTAAAATAATTTTCTCTTACCTAAATAAAGTTTATATAATAAATTTCCTATTAAAGGACTAGATAGAATTTCCCTCTAAGAAAACTCTTAATAGGATTCTTATGTCCACACCATGAGGCACCATAATAGTAACATCCGTTTGTTTTGTAATATGCACAAGCCATCAGAAATATATAAGATTAAACCCGTTCCTCAAGTAGATATTCCTAATGGCACAATTGCATACACCCACCTTCAAGACAGCAGGCCTATTTTCTACACACTTAATAAGATGCCTATTCAAGAAGGTCAGATAAAGAAAAATGCAAAAACCAAAGGAATCAAAAGAATATTACCGTATACCCATATTTGTATCTGAAAGCTAGAAACCCATAGGCCAAAGTGGGTAAACTGGAATGCCTTAAAAATGTTCAGGTAGTCCTTGAATCACAACTGCATTTGGGACAAGAACTGCCATTGCTAAGCAATGCAATCTGCAATTGTAAAGCATAACATCGCATGACAGCATAACAGTAACCCAGGCAGTCCTAGTTGTCCTAATTCCACATATGTGGGTCGTTTAGCAGGAAGTAGAGGAAGTCCCAGGAAAAAAGTGCAGAGGTGCTGCAAAGGTGTGGGGGAGGCCTTGGGTGGCCCACCATAGGCCATGTACAAGTTGAGAAGGGGGGGTGTAGCAGTGGGGTACAAGCCCAAGAAGGCTGGGAAAAGAGAGCCTGGGGTGAGCATAGGGAGGCCAGGGTGTGTGCAAGCGAAAGGGGGAAGAAGAGCTTGATATGTGCAAGTGAATAAAGGCTGCCCTGAAGGGAGACTTACCTGAGTTACTTGCAACCTTCCCTGCTGGCTTTTCCATTGACTCTGCTTGTGGGAAGCTGGCAGGAAAGGATGCAGATGGTAATCATGTGATCGCAGGGCATTACAATTGGTTGTAAATGTAAGCTGATTGCCAAGTGCCCAGATTTTGATCACATGAGCCTGGGGGCACAACAACAGCCAGAACCTGGAGAACTAGTTGTAAGTTGTTTCATTCAGCATAGTCATAACTTCAAATGGTTGCTGAACAAATGGTCATAACTCAAGGACTACCTGCACAGATATAGGCATAACTAAAACCTGGTGAACTAGGGTAAATCAGGGAGTCACAATTATTACCGGTTACAACTCTGTAGGAAAGTTAGGGATAGGTGGGGTGGAGGATATGTTGCCTTGTATTTAAAAAAGACCATTGAATCAAATTAACTTGGCATGCCTAATAGGGCAGATCATTTGATGGGTAAAAGCACCAGATCATAAAGGGAAATTAATATCTCCTAACCAAAATGCTCAGAGAGATTTGAAAATTCAGAGGGATATTTAAAAAACAGCCTGAAAAGTTAAGCCATCTCAATTTCAATCTACACACTGACTGGAAATTTTGTGTTCAAACCATGGCAGAGAGATAACATTCTTTGATTCAATGAATAACTGTAAACTGGAACAACTGGTTTTGGAACTAATGGGGGGGGGGGAACAATACTAGACCTCTTAAACGATGCTTATTTTTTAAAGAAATAGATGTAATTGAACCAACTGGGAATAATTCAACATTCAAAGAAGCAGTAATGTAGAAATTCCAACAAAGTTCTAGTTGACTTCAAAAAGGAAATGCCTCAAAACTGAGAAAATGGGTGAAAAGGAAAATCAGGCATGGCTGAAAGGGCAAACTTCCTCTAGAAATATTTAAGAATACAAAATACAAATACAAAATACAGATATTCTGTTGAATACCTTCCACTAATCCAGATGGAATTTTTACCAGGAAAGTTAAGCTTTTTTCCTACAAAGGCATCACTTGGCTTAATAATGCTTAACAGAAACGACTAAATTTCATTTCAATATAAAACTACACCTGTTTCCTGAGAACCGACCTATAGTCTCTATTAGATCCTGCTCTATTCATGCACCCAGCCACACAGACATACTCATTTGACTTTGGCTCTTCCTCCCACTCTCCATTGATTCTAGATAGGTTACAACGTAAGCAACCACTCCCCCACCCCCCAAAAAAACCAAGTTAAAAATGCAATAGAAACAATAAGCAAGATGGAGCATCTGACCATCCTTCATGGAAAACATATCCAGCAAGGAAGTCTGTTCAACCTAAGACAGGAAAATAGCAAGATCTTTAGCCTTCCTGAATGCCATTAGGGTGGAAGCCACCTGGAGTTGAGGAGCAACACTTTCCAAAGAACAGACATCGTGACACAGAAGATATGCTTCCTAGATTCCAACAGATAATATTATTTAATCAAGGGGACCAAGAGCGTGCCCACTGTTGGCCGTTGCCGGCTGAACAAAAATCATGGGCAATAAGACAGTTCTTCAAATAAGTAGCTTCATGCCATATAGGTGATAACCAACACCTTGAAGCATACTGGCAACTAGTGCCGTTTGCCAAGCAGAGGTGTTATCTGGACATACTGAACAAGCCCATTACTGCCCATGCTGCTGCATTCTAGCCTGGGTGAAGCTTTTGAATGGCCTTCAGGGGAAGCCTCAAGTAGAATGTATCACAGTAAGAGGTGGTTATGCATGAGTGACTGTCTGAAGGACTCCTTGATCCAGAAAGGGACACGACAGGCATCACCAGATAGAACTGAGCAAAGACCTTCTAGGTCACCTGACACGTGCTCTTCAAGCAGGAAGTGTGAATTCAAAAAGATCCTCATACTCATTGCTTTTGAATGGGGAAGTGCAACTCCACTAAGAGCAAAGATAGAAGATCCTAAGATGTAAATGTCTATGGAGATTCTCAGTCATCAAGGTCATGGTTGTCCGAAAGGTGCTTTTTCAAAAGGCAACTGGACTTTCTTTTTCCTTAAAGATGTTTTGCTTCACATCAAAGAAGCTTCCTCAGTTCTGGATTGAAGAAGCTTCTTGGATGAGAAGCAAAACGTCTTCAAGGAAAAACAAAGTCCAGTTGCCTTTTGAAAAAGCACCTTTCGGACATCCTAAGATGTAGGTGGTCCCAGCAGCTACTGCCACTCAGTCTTGGTAGGAATGAATCAGAGAGAGTTCCTCCCATCCAGCCTACAGGCATCAGGACTAGACCTACTTGCCTCACTTGGAGAGCCTGGGATCAAAAGGTGTAATTAAGTATCATTAGTGCACTTGATGATACAGGACCCCAAACTGGTTAGATGACCTCATCCATTGTTTTTATGTAGATATTGAACAAGAGGCTCATCTTATGATATTGGGACCTGCTGAGAATACCTTTTTTGTCTCACTGGACTGGCCAGTTTTATCAGGAACTCTGGCATTCGGCGGTCCTTTGTGGAAGCCGTTCAGGAAGAACGGCTGCAAGTTGGGAGATGCAGAAAAAGATAAGATTGTTTGTGGCAGCTGTCCAGTGACCATTTGCAGACCTGACTTCTGACGCTATATAAGAGATAAGAAAAAGAATTAAAGATCAGATTCTGATTGGTCCATTGATTTTAAAAAGGAAGAATACCCTTCAGTGTGCAAATCAAGCCTACGGTTAAGAGTACAGGTGGTTAGCTACCTTTTGGGTGGATTCCTTTGGTGGAGGTTCAGGAGATGATGGAGAGTTCTTTATAAGTGGCTTGCTGGGTGCTATTGTAGATGGAGATGATATTCTCTGAAAAAAAAATACAGGTGTTAATGCTTCAGAGTTAGGCTGAAAGCCAAATGTCATAGTCACCTGTTACAGATGCCTGGGCAAAAATTAAAGTAGTAGTGCAGGAGGGGATTTACTGAACAGGGAGAACAAAAATTGGGCTTGCAAAACTAATGAGTTATCTAGAAAATGTACAGAAAATGAGCAGATCTAGTTTAACACAAATGGACAATTTATGGTTGCTATTACAACAGTATGATTTCATTCTGATAAACTGCTTTCAGCAAGAAACATATGAAGTTTTGTTCAAAATGTTTTGTGTGTTAAACTAAATTATTAAACTGATCCCTGTTGTTCCAACATTATGTTTACATTAGTTTCTTCAACTAATTTTGTGTGCCTCTGTGTGTATGTGCATCCGTGTGTATGTAAGAGAGAGAGATAGAGGGAGGGAGGGAGAGAATGCAGAAGAGTTTGTGCATTTACTTACTTTCAATGGCAACGAACTGCTTCCCACTTTCTCCTGAGGTGAGAGGTTCTGCCTTTCAGCATTCTGATTGGTCACAGTGAGGACTATGTGAGTCCCTGTGGAATCTGTGATGAGGGTAGGGGGGGAAGCTCCCTTGATGAAATCACTGAAACCTCCAGCTTGTTGTCCAAGGAAAAAACATGAGGTCTGACATGATGGCTCAGTTTCAGCAGCTAGCACCTCCTGCTTCACCATTACTGCTTTCTTTGGCACTAAATTTGTATCTGATGTCTCCATTTGGCTGGTGGTCTGTGTGGGTCTTAGTTGGTCAATTTGGCAGTTCAGCTGCTCCACAGATTGGCAACTCACAAAGCCTTTTTCATTCTTGACAGAGGTGCCAAAAATAGAGGGCTCACAGACTGTAGCTCTGTCTTCTTCTCCAACAACTGTAGCTGACAGCGGTTGTTGAGATCTCTTTTCTTTCTCCAGCTGCAGCTTTAGCATCTCCACCAACTGCTGTTTCTGCTTTAGCATCCGGGTGAGTTCCTCAATCTGCTTATCTTTTTCCTGCAGCATCTGGTCTTTATCCTGGACCTCCATGTCTTTGTTGTTGTTCATGCTAGACTCTACCCTTGACATTGCATTTGTGCTACAAGTGTTACCTTTGGAACTCTCTTCTTTTACCAAAAATTGGACTGGTGATGCTTGTAGAGTAAGCTGAGTCAGGGGAGAAGTCACCATCTCCCCAAAGGTATCACCACTGATTGAATTCTCATCTCCAGCACTTATCAGAGAACGTTCAGAGGGAGTGGGTGACACAGGAGGAGTTGAGCCTGTGCTCCCAAACTTCATGACCCCATTGCCCGTGACAGTGGCTACAACAACCTCTGCTGAAGTAAGGCCTGTATTGACAAGTGCAGGACCTGTACTCAGCCGAGCAGCTGGGAAAGTTACCACCACTTCAGTAGTCTTCGGGAGAATTGCTGTGTTAGCCTTGGGAGCAGCAATTACTCGGCTGGTTATACCGTTCTGCTCTTGATAAGCCTTGAGCCGCTCAATTAAATCTGTCTTGGTACCCGACACAGGCAATGCCCTTAACTTCAACTCTTGCTTTAGCTCTGCCACCTATCAAAGAGTCAGAATTCGATCAGAAGTTGTTTTAGCTAAGATACCCTTACTTACTAGGGCTACATCAAATCACAGTTGGACGTAAAGCTGGTGGATACATCCTTTCAATTCTAATATATTTTTTAAAGAAAGGATGCCACATATTATAAGGCATAAAACAATGAGCACAAAAGTTCCATTTTCAAAGGACAATTCCATCACCACCAATAAATAAAATGTATGGTTAGCATCAAACTCTTCAGTTTCAGGGATAGTATCACCATCCACTAACAATGCAATAAATACCTTATACCACATTTTTATTAACAAATTTTAAAGGCTAAGGCAACATACTGTTTAAATGAAATAAAGTAAAGAACCTGTATTATAATTCATAATATTGAATGAACAACTGGACAAGTAATTACAATACATTCTATATTTAGGTAAAAGAAAGCTGATGTAAAAATGCAGGAATTGTATTATGTTAAATTTGATCCAAAATTACCAGAACTAGTAGTAATGCTATGCAACTAATTACAGCCTAAATGATGCTTCTGTTATTGCAGTAGTTATGACAACCCATCCAACAATAATATAAATACAAGATGATTCCTAGATATATAAACTAGAGTGCCTCAAGCTTAAGGAGAACATTAGGCATTATATACTTACAATATTTATCTATTTTCTAATATTTTATCCTTGTTTTATAGCTGCTATATTAGCCACCGCACCAGAAGGTGGAAATACATTCCCTTACATTTTAAATATCTGCTGTGCTGCATATTCACAATAATGTTTCTTTTACTTTCATTATATGTCTAATATTTGTTCTCAAAGCAGCTAACAAATGCTTGGTTACCTTCATGTCATCAAGGTTAGTAGGGAGAGCCCCAGGTTTGCCTACTGGAGAATTGCTATTTTGTCGCAAGAGCCCATTAGAACTAGAAGAAAGAGAAGACGCGTTGCTGGCAGCACTGGAAAGATTACGCAAGGCTGGGGTGCTGTTGCCATTCTGTTCTCCTAAAGGCCTGAAGGGGAAAGAAAGGGTGAATTGAATAGCCAGCTGCAAAAAACTAGCAACAGAACCTTCGTCTTCAGGCTTTGCTTCTGCACTTCCCAGAGGAAGCTGAATATTCACTGCTGAGAAAACTCCTTGATCTAGTCTGACAATGCTTATAAAATGTATGGTCAAGGTGCCAAGCACTTAGATAAAGCACAATGCAAATCATCGCTGCTGGTTTAGCATTTGCTTTCAGCTGTACTTTATGATAAATCATGAAAACTTTAGATATTTTCTTCAGTACTTATGTTTTGAATGCAGTAAAAACAGAGAAATATGTTGTAAAACAAAAAGCTCATTCTAAGGACTTCATATTCCATCATGCTCTTTTCAGCAGGACTAAATGAGGAAAAGCAGCCATCTGGGAAATTCCTATTAACCATTATCTTTTTAGTTTCATTCTGTATTATTTATTGATTAGATTTTGATCCCACCATTACTAAGTTAGTCAAGGAGGCAAACATGCATAATACTCTTTCCTCCTCCTATTGTCCCCACAACAAGAATCCTGTGAGGTGGACTACGTGTGACTGGCCCAAAGTCACCCAGCCAACTGTCATGCCTAAGGCAGGACTAGAACTCAGATTCCTGGTTTCTAGCCCGAGACCAGCCCAGAGTCGGCGGATGAGGCTAGGTTATGAAAAACATGTTTGCTGAGTTTACCGAGAAACAAGTAAACAAATGAATATCCAATTCAATATATGCATTACTGATTGGGGGGCTTTCAAAACCTCTCTCAAAATTATGTTACCAAAACTTTTCTTTACACTTATAAACTTTCACTAAAATCTTAGACACCTTTACTATTACAAGTACATTTATCATTTTCACTTACTTCTAATATTTGCAAGCTATACTCCCAATCAAGTGAACGTTAGAAAGTGAAGAAATATGGCTATGACTGAGTTGATGATGGGTTGACTTTACAAATCTCATACTTTGATGGGAATGGACAGATAGAGAAATAGGCTTCAGCTTTGTTGGTACTAAGCTCTTGAGAAATAAAAATTCAGAATTTTAAGAAGAAGAAGAAACCCCTACTTTGGTGGAGCTGGGAGGATGGTTTGATAGTTGTAGTGCTGTTGGTGCTGTTGATTAAGGATCTGGAGCTGTAAAAAGAGTTGTTGTTGCTGCAGGATTTTGGCATAAGATGAATCCATGGGGGGAGCTCCTTTATCCTGTTTTTGGTCCGGTGGAATATATTGGTGATATTTCAGCTTCTTGACTTTTGGTTTCGGCTCCTTGGATTTTTTGCTACGCTGGGACTTCTCACATGAAGATTTTGTCTGGCTTTGCTGTTTGAAAGAAAAATAGGTGGTTCAGGATAGGATAGTGGCATGATAAATATAACGAGTGACATTTGGAGAAATGATTGGCTGGTTTAATAGTTTCCATACAATTTCTTCATTCTACTGATCTGCCCTAATAAATATATACCTATTAAATAAGTATAACACTGCTAGCTTTTAACTAGACCAGGAGTCTCCAAACTTGGCAGCTTAAAGATTTATGGACTTCTGGGAATTGCCAAGTTTGGAGACTCCTGAACTAGTATAATGCTAATTTTAATATATAACAATTATATTACATCAATGCAGTGAACCTGCATGAACAATCCTTAGACCAATTAATGGTCTATTGCAGTTTTATATTCATTAAATTTCTGTATACTTTATAAACGTATAAATCCACATTTATATTCCATATACTTCATCATATTCCAAACTGACAGGAAAAAAAAAGAATGATAAAGCAAGGGAAACACATGTCATCAACTCTGGGTACTTAAGTGAAAATACTTCCACAGTGTCAAAACTACTAATCTACTAGCAAAGAAAGGATCCTAATGTATCACTATAGTAACTATTTACTTAATAAGGAATTGAAAATTGCATTGAATGGTTGATTCATGATCTTGATCAAGGTCATGTTACTCAGTATCTCGCCTAAGCGTTAAAGGAAACCCTTGACATAATAGATTTTTTGGCTGATAGTAGCACTTAGCCCTAATACAAAAGGTACCTTTATAAGAGTTGGAAGAGGTTTGGCAGCAGCAGGAGCAATCCCATTAGTGAGATTCAGAGGCACTGGAGGTGGCGGCTGTGGCAAAGGGGTTGGAGGCTGTTCAGACACATAAGTTGTCTCAGTGCAGTCTGTGCTGATTTTTAACTGGCACACAATCTACAAAGTAGATGAATATGTCCAGATGAATTTTCAGAAGACAGAATAAGCAGTTAGCAGGTGACTTCTACAGTATCGTAAAAAGACAGATAACTGCTCAGTTACATTTATGTACTGCAAAATACAGATATGTAAGCAAAGCCAATTTTCAGAATCAATCCCACCATATAATAAGAGAGTTTACCGTACTTTCCGGCGTATAAGACGACTTTCTAAAGCACTGAAATCGGCGCCGCAGTCGGGGGTCGTCTTATACGCCGAGTCGTCTTATACGCCAGAAATAACTGTAGTTTCTGGCGTATAAGACGACTTTCTAGGCATGCGACTCGGTGCCGAAGTCGGGGGTCGTCTTATATGCCGGGTTGCCTTATATGCCGGAAAATACGGTACTTCTTTCCATGGTCAAATTTTAAGAAAATAGAAATTTATTTTTTCACAAAGTAAAACGGCATAAGGGATGTTATTAATATTATTTCAAGATCCAGTTTGAGAACCACTTTGGTGTAGTGGTGAATGTGCTGGCCTAGAAACTAAGAAACTGGGAGTTCTAGTCCACCTTAGGTATAAAAGCCAGCTGGGTGACTTGGGGCCAGTCACTCTCTCTCAGCCCAACCCACTTCACAGCGTTATAGTTGTGGGGAAAACAAGAGGAGGAAGGAGTATTATTTTATGTTCACCACCTAATAAAGATAGGATAAAAAGAAATCTAAAAAAAGATTCAGGTATCAAGTGTTTTATTGCTAATAAGCACAAATTCTCATAACAATCTTTTCTTCCAAGGAAAATACATTTCTTGCTTGAGCTCCTACAATCAAAAAGTGCAACAAGAGGCAACACCTAAGGTGTGCTCACCTGAGCAGGGGATGCTACTGTGGGAGTAGGAACTAAATCACTCATCAGAGCATCCATTGGGGATGGCACAGATGCCTGGGATTCATGGCTAGCCGGTTGTTCTGGAGACAGGGCATCACTGCTGTCTTCATCAAAGGAGGAATTATCTGCTAACTTAGGATAGTCCACTTGACCTACTAAAAACAACAGATGCAAAGTTAATTAATTAAAAACAGAGGATCTGGACCACTGAAAACCAGCAGGACATTTCTGGGTCACTATAAAATCCAAGATGGGGAAAAGCAGAGGAACTTTAGACAACTGTGCATTGTACATATACAAATAGATTCACCAATTGACCAGAACTTGTTAACAAAAACCAAAATCTAATTCTGAGTACAATAAAGAACGGGAGCTTTTATTTAACAAGTAAAACATTAAAAATACTCCTATTTTTTGTAAAAGTAAAATAAATCCAAAAGAACTTATGTGCAATCTTACAAGTTTACAAGTTCTAAAACTCTTTCAGAATGACCAATCAGACGGTGATCCACAAGTCTTTTAAACTATTACAATTCAAGAGTAAGAGACACTTTCTATATATTGTGTGAGGCCTGATTCCTTTCAGTGCTTATGCTTTGTATCCATACATTGTATCCATAAAAAAATATTTCTGTTCTTGTCTTCTTATCCTACATAAATTAATCTGTATTTAATGCCACTTAAGAGTAGGGTTCCACTTTAATATGACTATAAGAAAACAGAATACAATGCCAAAGGCAGACAACTATTGTACAGCATCTCTTCAGTCTTAGATGTTAACTGCATTTCTACTTATAATTTTTCTTATAAACTTGCTCACAAAATTTTGACTGAAAGCATTTATGCAGGATAGGAAGTTGAGTGCAGAAATATTTTATGGTTATACAAAGCAGCAAATATATTCTGCTTTCCTTATTTTAAAGAAGGGATTAAAAAAAGAAGCTACTGTTTTATCCACTACAAAGCTTCTCTTTTTTAGCAGACTTACCAATGAGAGCTTCCTTCAAGCTTGATTCCACAGGCAGAATATTTTTCTCCACCAATTCCATGGGGCCTGGTCTCTGGGCAATCTTCTCATTGAGATCATCAGCCAATCTAGCCCGCTTCAACTTCAGCTGCTTGGCCTGAAGAGAAGGTTCAGCAGAGGTCTCTGTTCAGCAGAAACAACAAAAACACAATTATTTCTTAACTATAAAACCCATTACAGAAATCAGTTCTGTAGTGTCCTTTTGGAGAATCTCAAGTAGTACATAAAGAACCAGCCCTAACTATACTGGTACCCTCATACCTAAATAATTTTTAAGAATAACAGACCTGCCTTTCTGACTTGTGCCAAAGGCCTGTTACTCCATTAGCTAACCTGAATTTTGTGAGAAGACCCAAAACAGGACACACAAAAACATGTGTATTTGTAATAACAGCAACTGGTATTGGGGAATATAAAATATTGTCATTATCAGTTTAGCTTAATGTCATCTATCAGGACTCCCAAACTGAGCCTTCTCTGCAGCAAGGCCAGCCCTCTGGAACAAAGACCAGTTCTAAACCACTCAGCTGTGGTTTAGAAGAGCTGTAAAGATCTGACCCCCTGTTTCATCCCACTTGCCATCTTTTATTATAATTTCTTTGTTCAATTGTTAGTCGCCTAGAGTTGAGAATTGAGTAGCATACAAGATTACTACTACTACTACTACTACTACTACTACTAATAATAATAATAATAATAATAATATCATCATCATCGTCATCATTCACAATCATGTGAAATCACAGCTGCCAGTTCTTTAGATGGTGATGGCCTTAATACACATTTGAGTTCTTCCCAAGAACCTAGGATGTTATAATGAATCAACATAGCATATGTGCTGATTCAAGAGCTGTGGCTTTTGTAATTGACAAGGTACAAATTTTGTCAATGCATAGATTTTCTAAGTGCCCCCAATATTTTTGGGTATTGTACCCAATGTGTCAATAATCACAACAGTTTTTATCTTCGATTTTCAGATCTTGTTGCTTTGTGATCTCCAATTCTTTGTCTTCTATTCTACTATCCCTTGGTATTGCCACATAAATTATCCATACTTCCTCTTCCTTCTCCTCCTCCTCCTCCACTGATAACCTTATTTTAATTTAATTAATCTCCATTTAATACTATCAAAATTGGAGCTATCACTAACTGTAGAATGCTATTGACTTACTCAAATGTTCTTGGTCAAATTCCTTATGGGTAGACTTCCTTTACATATAATTACCTTCTTTTCCCCTTTTGCCAGGCCTATTCCTTTTGAGTAAGTGATACTTTTCAATTCTGGCATTCCACTCATATGTTTTGTCCTATTAGGTTTCAATAAGTCCAAATAAATCATATTTGCCTTCCTAAATTAGGATTCAGAAGAATTACTTCTTCTAATTTTTTGTAAAGAAACTATGGAAGCCTTTGTTCAAATATCTTGACTTATTCTTTCCTGTATTTACATTCTCAGTTGTTGCCTTCACATCCTGAATACTCCTTTCAGTCTGGTTCCCAGCACATAATATTGTTTCCCAGATCTTTCTCTCTTCCACATAGAATTCATTGGAGAGCCTGCTAAATCAAACTTACAAGACACTTTCCCATTATATTTGGGAACCATCTTAGTAATCTTCCATTTTTCAAAGAATCCCATTGGCACCACTGCTAAATTATCATTTCCAGCATTTTCTTTTTTCCTGGATTACATCCTTCAACAGAAAGGTGTCAACGCTGCTAATATTGAATATTCTTGCTTTGACAATATATGCAGAACTGTCTGGTATTTGTAGAGTTAATATAATATAATATAAGGAAAGCCCGGGAAAAAGAAACAGAAGTGAATCTTTGCCCTCCAAGTTAATTGGAAGATGTGAATCATGACCCCAAAATAGGGGAAGGGAAATGCCTGGAATGTTATGTGCAAAGGAAGGGAAATGCCTGAAAGTTCTTTGAAGTGTTTTGTTAATCAGACACATGACAAAAGGTATGAAGAAACCACTACCTGTGACCCTCCTGCTCTTTCACTCTCCTGCCCAGTATTCCACCTTGCAACTCTCTCCACAGTTGCATTTTTGGTGCCATTTGTTCTCATGAACACTAGTAGACAGAGCAGGATTAAAGAACTTTGGATATCTTTTAGCCTTGTTCCAAATTCATGACCCAGGAAAGCAACACAGCTAATTGGTCCAGCCAAGATTGCTGATTCAATCCCTCTCGGTAGAGAGAGTACCTAATCACCACTGTTCATTACTTCATGTATAGGCAGACATTACTCCCATTGCAAAGTTTGTATAGCCGCCTTTGCTGCTCTGAGGCTTGGCAGGTGCTTTTTATCCAAGGGTTCACAAAGATCATCAATAATGAGATTGTGGAAATTGTTCTGAAGCTTTAAAATGTAAGAGCTCACTTGACAGACTTGGGCTTGCGTTTCAGATTCCTGTAACTTTCCACAGTTTGGTATGTTTTAATCTGGGATGCTTTCTTGTGTTTATATCTCTCTGCAAGCACCCCTTGTATCCAATTCAAAAGTTCCCCATCTTCATTGATCAGCTGAGAACTGGATTTTGTCTTTAACTCTTTCACCTTCCCCTCCAGCAAACATTTAGATTACGTTTGCATATTTTTTGTCATCTTTCAGAAGAGAAACAGAGCATATTCCCGACAGCACCGGACAGCAGTACTCTCTATTTCCATACTCCCTGATGAATGAAAACAATTTTTAAAAAGGGGCTTCCCCATGGACTTGTCTTAAATTTCTGTTCTTTTTTATTTGCTTGATCATTGATCTACTTCTTGGATCTATTAAAAACTATTACATTGGCCATTTTAATACTCTGTTCCAAAAAAAAAATCTTATAGATATATATATTTTTTTGCTACATCAAATAATTTTGTATGTATTCATTGGTGTACAAAGTGATTTAGTTTCTCATTCTCCTTCTTTCCAGCATTCCTTTAAATCTCTTTTCATCAGTAATAACAATCCAACTTCCATGCCAATTCCATCTCTTGTTAGCATACTATTATTAGCAATGAGTACTTTGAAATTTCTTGCATCTCTTGGGCACCTCTTATGGAAAACAGTGTGTTTTGTTCTCATTTGGCCATAGTCCAAATTTCAGAGGAAGCCATTTTTCTGATAGCTTCCTTGACACTGTTAATCATGCAGATGACCTCTTGTATTTGTCAGTACATTTCCTGATCTGCTTATATTTTAGCTGAGCCTATATTACTAACTTTCCTTTTCAACTTCCTTTTTATGAAAATTTTGAGACACTTCTTTTGAAGAAAAAGATGCTTTTTCTTTTGAAGTCGAATGTAAAGTGATAAAACTGTGTGGAACACTCCAATTAGGTGTTAAGGGTGGGACTACCTTAGAGTCTGCACTGCAAAAAGTGGCATAGGCCCGCCCTTCCCCAGAATTCCTGAAGCCTTATCTGATTATTCTCATTGTAACATAGATGACTAACAATCATGTATCTATTCACAAGCAGTTCTTGTTGCTTGCATCTGACAAAGACTTTCTGGACAATTTTCAGATTTGCTAATGTTGTAAAACAAGATGCTTTAAAATTTTGCAAAAAGTTGTAAAAACTTTTTAATACAAATAAGAAACTATTTAGAGATTACCATACTTTCCAGTGTATAAGACAACTTTCGCAAGCACTAAAATTGGCGCCAAAGTCGGGGGTTGTCTTATACGCCGAGTCATCTTATACGCAGGAAATAACGGTAGTTTCCAGCGTATAAGATGACTTTCTAGGCATGCGACTTGGCGCCGAAGACGGGGGTCGTCTTATATGCCAGGTCACCTTATACGCCGAAATATACGGTAATAAAAACAGAAAAGAGTTATGCCAGAGGTCTAGCCTAGTTTTCTGTTCTCACAATGATCAACCAGATGTTGATGGAAAGCCCACCAATGGCATATAAGCCCAGCATCTTCTCCTTCATATTCTTCAGCAATATGCATATAATTATCATCACCGCAGGCAGAATCTGGTAGCATATTACATCTGGCGGATATTACATATATTGCAATAATTTTTTTTCTACTATAAAAATAGAAGTAATGTTTTTATTCTTTAACAATTATTACATTCTTCACAGTCAGCCAGTTTTCCAGGACCAACAGCAATATATTTAGAAAACTACTTTAAAAATCTTATTCCTCAAGTTGTAAGACTAGCACAAAATAATTGATATTGCAAGAGCTACTCAGGCAAGAAGTACTTAGGCTCTAACTTTATTAGCCTATCCATTTCTAAATAAATAGAATACATGAGAACAATGAATGTCTAGTTTGTATCTTTTCAAAAACGTACTAAACAACCATACACCAGAGACTGTACCTTCTAGAATGTGCATCCTCACCAACTCAGACCTCTCTGGTCGGGACCGAATCTTCCGTTTCAAGTAATCCTCTGTCTGTAAAACACCGAAAAATATATTCTAAACTTCAATGAAGTCACAAGACTAAATGTGGAACATGCAAGATTTTCGTGTTAAAATTTATCATGAGATTCTTAAGTAGAAGAAAGAACACTGCCTCAGATCTCAGTAGCTATGCTGTTAAAGAATGGAAGAAGCAAAAGGTCCACCATATAACTTTGCTTACTTTGCATGAGTGCACAGCATTTAATCAGAGATTGAAAACCTTGAGGGAAATGAAGCACACAGTTTCCAACACTGTGCTGTTTGAAATGTTTAGGATGCATTAATTGTCTATTTTCACATCTACTGACAGGGACACTTAAATCAATCTTATTCCCAAACTATATACATAGCACTGTATAACAAATGTAAAGGTTTTGATTGAAATTATAATTCCCCACACATTTTAGTTTTAAAACAAGCCAAGCCAAAAGTCACTGCATTAACTCCTCATTAAACGCATTGAAGGTTTTTATGATTGTAGCCCAAGATATGGTGTATTTATTCAATTTATTTCTCAGGAACCAGAAGTTGTTCCACTTAAATTTATATTAGCAGACAGTTAATATCATAGAAGCAAACAGTGGGATCAATCAAATAAATTGTAGGATTACTGAAGGAGGAAGTTCTCTCTCTCTCTGCTATAGGTATCCTAGGCTCTAATTCTATTAATAATGTTACCATTTCCATCATATTATATATAATGTATAAAATAAAATACTCCAGGAGAATGGAGGTCTCCATTTGGAAAAATCAGAGATCAAATCTGAAAAAAGCTATAGCTGCTAAGCATTCAAAGTCTTACCCTGGCCCGTTCCAAACTTCTTCTCTGTTCATGAAATGCAGCTGGACTTTTCAGAGCTGTTGGAAGAGAATACCTCAATTACATGCCTTAATTTTCAACATATATAAACCTTTATGGTTCAACAATCATCAAAATCATTTGGCCAAGAGACCAAAGGCAGCTATTTTGACATATGCTCAACTGTATCCTGCACTGATTTAGTCTACATTGTTGTACTTTGCCAACCTAAGCGAATAATGAAGTTTACTATCTGATCACTAAAATACCATACCTAAATGTACAGGTTAGCAAAGAACACATCAAGGGAAGGAGCTAGTGAAGTGGTTTAGCAAGAAAATATTTGTTTACCAGAGAAATTCACTACAACATAATCATATATAAAGATATATAAAGTCTTTCAAAAATATTTGATGAAATAGAATCCCATGTATTTGGATTTAATCATTTAAAGAAAGAAAATATAAATATAAATGTCTGAGGAATACACTGTATGCATGTTTAACTAGCAAGATAAAGGTGACAGAAAATTTAAGAATTAAGTTCAACAATGAATAATTTTTCCCCAGTAGACAATTGCCAAAATAACTCCTGTTTTAAGCCACCTAGCCCCATCTACCTAGCAGTATGCAAGTTTTGGAAGAATCCTCTGGCAGGGTTTCCTCTGCCAGACATTCACTTTGGTTGGAAAAAAAATGGTTGGCAACAATTTTTCTCAGTACATTATCATCAGACTCAGGATAAAATTCAGCTCTCTGCTTTTACCACTCCAAAGAGAAAAAAAACATAGAAGAATACACCATAAAGCTGTTTATTTTGCTGAATAAGCGTGATTTTTATAACACTAAACTGAGCAGCTCATATTGTTTCGTTATACATAGTGAAAAAAAATCTGACGTATACTAAGTAGGTTGATATGCACTTATTCATTAATCATTGGGGGGGGGGGAAACTGACTTGATCTAGCCCAGGGGTAGGCAACCCAAAACACTTAAAGAGCCACTTGGACCCGTTTCCCACCAAAAACAAAACACTGAGAGCCGCAAAACCATTTTGATATCTAAAATGAAGATAACACTGCATATATCCTTTTTTACCTTTATTATAGGTGTGTGTGTGTTTGTGTGTGTGTGTTTGTGTGTGTGTATGTATGTGTGTGTGTATATATATATATGTATATGTATGTATGTATATATATATACACACACACACACATACGTAAAAAAAGGATATATGCAGTGTTATCTTCATTTTAGATGTCAAAAGGGTCTCTCTCTCTCTCTCTCTCCCTCTCTATCTGCCCTTGGTCTGCCACTCCTCTTCCCCCGCTCTCTTTCTTTCTCTCTCTCTCTTTCCTCTCTCTCTCTCTCCCTCTCTCTCTTTCTCCCCCCCCTCTCCTATCTGCTGCTCACCTGACAAGCTTCAGGCTGTTGTCCAACAAGATCAGGGGTAGTCAACCTCGTCTCTTTTATGACTCATGGACTTCAACTCCCAGAATTCCTGAGTCAGCCTAGCTGGGCTAGCTAGCTCTCTCTTGCCCTTCCTGCTTCCTGCAGAGATGCAGCAAAGGGGGGAGCTCCGCCCAGTAAGCTTTTCAGCTCCTCGGAGAACACTGTGAGTGCACTCTCTTTTTTTACACACACACACACACACACACACACACACACACACACACAGAGAGAGAGAGAGAGAGAGAGAGAAGCAGGGACGCACAATTCCTCTCTCTGTCTCTGTCTCTCTCTGCAAAGGCAGAGGAGGCTGGGAGCCGCATGGGAAGGCTCACCAAGAGCCGCATGCAGCTCCGGAGCCGCAGGTTGCCGACCTGTGATCTAGCCTGAGTAAAAGGCAAAAAGGAAGACAAAGCTATAGAAATCCATTTAGATCAGATATATTCTCATATTATGTTCTGAAACAATAATATAAACTAATCAATTAATCCTTTTATTTAGGTGAAACCAATTTATGGTTTAGAAAGGCTTGATAATGAACATAGCTGATGCACTTTGAATGAACCAACAGCTAGGATAAAATTAAGTTTCCTATTGGAACCAGTGGGGGAAATGTTTATGGTGAAGTAAAATAATAGGATGAGTATTTGGAGAGGGGAATATTCTAGGGGAGAGAATCTTCACTGGATGCTATAATTCAGCTCAGAAAAATACCTTCTATTGCAAGTATGTTTTCCAAAATGCTTCCAATGTAGAAGAAAGATATTGTAATGGAGTGTGAGAATGATCTTGGGAGACAGAATGAAGATCTGCACACAGGCCAATGGTCAGATAAGAGGAAGCTTAGCCCACTGAAGGAATATGTGTGTGACAAACTAGTTTCTTGTGCTGTAAAGATGACAGAGGAGAAATATACTTTTCAGACATGGATGATTCTGTTAATAAAAATTTACAATAAAATATAGTTGGTTCAATTGAGTCTGCTTCTTGTATGGAGTATCTCCCAAGGCTAATAAAAATGACTTGTATGATTGTGTTTGTTGCTGAGGCTTCTGAGATTTATATACAGGTAGTCCTCGACTTATGATCCCAACTGAGCCCAAAATTTCCATTACTAAGCAAGACAGTTGTTAAGTGAATTTTGTCCCATTTTATGGTTTTTCTTGCCACGATTGTTAAGTAAATCACTGCAGTTGTTAGTAACACAGCTGTTCAGTAAATCTGGCTTCCCCATTGACTTTGCTTGTTGGAAGTGGCAAAAAATGGTCACATGACCTTGGGACACTGCAACCATCATAAATACATACTAATTGCCAAGCATCCAAATTTTAATCATGTGACTATGACTTATGACTGCAACTGTCAGAAGCATCACTTTTTTCAGTGTCATAGTATCTCTGTGGTCACTAAACAAATAGTTGTAAATCAAAGACTACCTGTAGTTGATTTGTAATGCTGCATACTGCTTGGATTCACTGTATGCCATATAAATCTATTTAGTAACTAAATAGACAGGCACATTCTGAAGTAAGAGGTGAGAAATGATGGATATTGGATGGATATTGACCCTGGAGATGGCTTCCTTGCTACTGAAGGAAGAAAGATGTGTAGTTGCTGAAGTACATGAGCATAGCCAATTTGACTCCACTACACAATACATTTCCTACCTACTTGGAAACTTTTTGTTATCCTGAGATTATATTCAAAATTTGTGGGGTGAGTGATGGCTAAGGCAAACTGAAGAATAATGCAATAGGCACAGAATCATATCATAAAACAGTCAGGATTTCCCAATTGTTTCCTGGTTTTGGGGGGGGGGGGTTGGGGGGGGTAGGATAGAAAAAACTTCTATCATAGTTTTCCCATGATTCTCATCCCACCAACACTTCCAATTTTCAATAACACCACTGAAATTTGGCAACATGATTCCAGAGGTTACAGAAAAAAAGGAGATTCAAAGGCCATATGTAGTCATGGGGCTGTGATTCCATATTTTATATACAAATGGATCTCAACAATGCAGCCTGTTCATTTTTCCAAAGCATCCAGAAGAAATGATAGCTAACTAGCAAACTACACACTCCAGAGGGAAATGCTTTCATATCCTCATGAGAATTTCTTTGGAAAAACACTCTGGTTTATAGTTCCTTCCAGGGCTGGCACTGTGACAAAGAAAATTTCATACTTGACTTTTGAAAATGCCAAAAATCAACAAGTTTCTCTCTATTTCTCCCATAACATTTTCACAAATGAAGACAGAATCTGAAAAGAATCAGTGAATATGTATTATCAGTTTCCATCCATTTTTTTTGGCTGTGTAAAAAGGACATAATAAATGGCCTAGAAATGTCAAACAACTTTACCATGTTAGTTATAAAGCTGAAAGGTTTTTTAAAAGCATGGCTTTTTAGTTATAAGTAGGAAGTTATGAACTGTAGTAACACCCATGTTTGGTTATTCTAATCTAGAAGGATGATTTAACTTTTTCAAGTTTAATTTTTTAAGTATGCTTCTTTGTTATATAAATAAGAATAATATAATTTTTAAATATGAATCTTTCAAACACTAAAGTGCTTTGATTTCCCAACTTTGTTCCCATTTGATTTTCTTTATCATAAAAGATATGGTGAAATATAAAACTTATACCTTCTATCATTAACCAAGAGGTTTGTTATTCTAACTTGAGCAAGTGAAACGTGTAATTGCAATAACATTTAATATTTAGAATTCCAAGGCCTCTTTCACTGGGATTTTGAAGGAGGGTCTTTTAATATATTTTTTGCTTTTTCTCCATTATGTATAAATTTATTAATCATTTTCTACCTTTTTTCAAATAATTTTATTGAGGATTATACATGTAAAAAACACAAGTCAATACAAACTACAAACAGAAAAATACAAAAAAGGGGGGAGGTGTGCGAATAAGGAAAAGAAAGGAAAAAGGAAAAGAGAAAAAAAAGAATGTAACTTTCCTCTTCATTCCAGAAAGTAAAAACAATTTTAAGAGCTTATCATCATCTTAAAATGAACTATAATCTCTGTCTCCCTGTAGCTCATTTCTCAAATAAGGAAAACAAAGTCCAAATACTCGGCCAATCAATCTTTGTCAACAGAAGTCCAGTAAGGGCAAGCAGATATAACTATTTTCTTCTTTTAACTCTGATAAAGCAAGCCAATATTATAAACCTTCCCTGATTTTTTAAAAGTACCGTATTCTTATACACCTTCAAAAAAAATCCCGGAGATAATTTGCTGCTCATCTATGTTTCAGAGAAAAAAATCCTTTCAAAGTTCATTAGATTTCTCTTGTATACATAAATAAAATTTATCCTTTTGTTTGTCAGCTTTTAAAAAAAGTCCTTTCAAATCTTACATATCGAGAAATAAAAAATGATCCAAATCAGTTTCCTGATTTAATATCTATTCATCTCCTTTAGGGAATAAGTCATCCACCAGATTCATTTATATTACATATACATCCTCTTTCAAATTAATTTCATAAATATCCATTGCAGCTCAACCTTATTTTAAACTTTATTAGAATATGCTTTGTCAATTTTAACAAGTATCTGATCCATTCTGCCCAAAGGCTTAGCTGAAAGGAATTCAAAAGTTTGCACTGAGCATTTTTGCTCCATTTTCTTTATCATCTGGCTCTAGCGACCAGCCTTCAATATCCATTTTCCCATGAGAAAGTGTCTTCTAAATAATACAAAACTATAATTCCAAATCCCTCTAGTCGCTTAGGGTCTTAATCTCTCCAATTTGCAAATAATAAAAAAAAAACCAAAAGTAATTAACATATAAAGCTCAATCAACTTTAGTGTCCATGAAGGCTGCTTTGTGAGTCTCAGCTTGATGTAAATCCCGACTCTCAAGTCATTCCAGTCATAAAGTAAAAGTAAAAATGATAGTTTTTGCAGTCTACTCATGAGGAGCAGCTGTTCAGAGCCACCTGGATAATCTCATGGATGATCGCAACAATTTCTCCTTCATTCTGGAGAGATTATACTATTTCAGATCAAGTATTCAGGGGCAATTCCACTTAGAAAGCTATCTTGCTAGCAAGGTGTCTGCTCACCATGGCACTTACAGAAACTCACATTTTACACCATTTTTAGAGATTTTTCATATATATGTATAAAGGGAGGGGGGTAACACTTCTCTCCTTAAAAGAAGCAGTGGTACACCTCTCCTAAAGAAGAAGTCTTTAGATCCAATGATTCTATATAACTATTGTTAGGTTGTCAAACTTCCCCTTTTAAGTTGAAGTGTTATAGAAAAGATGATGGTCAGTCTACAGTTAAGAACATGGAAGTAGTGAATTATCTAAACCCGTTTAAGTCAAATCTAGGGCCAAGATTTCAGGTTTCATGTTTGTAGCTGACCTGTGTTGGAATAGGAATGGAGGTGGCACATCCACCCTTGTGCACCTTGAACTCTAAGTGGCTTTTGATACCGTTGACCACAGAGTCTTTAAGAGCCCTCAATGACGCATTATTGACAATAACCACACACCCCTCCCAAGATCTTGGCTAGTGCTAAACCTGAAACCCAAGGGGTCATATTTCCGAGCAGGGGAACCTCCCTCCTAGGACACACTCAGGTCTTAGTTATGCATGCCAGACTGTTACCCTTATCCACAGTTAGATTAGATTGTGGATAAGAGTAAATTATTTGCACACCAATCTGGCATTCAAAAGCAGCAGCTGGAGCCTACTTTGCTTCAAGCAATTTAACCATAATGTGATTCCTCAGAGGCTTATGAAAGCCTATTATTAAAAAGGACACAAGGCACCTGCACACAATCAATATGTAATTTATCCCTCCAAATTCTGATAAAGTGGAAAGCATATATGAATACAATTTACAATTACAGCATAAAACAATATTTTAAAATCTGACAATTCTTATACATTACATTCTTTAAAAAATATGTGTTCCTATACAGAATAGAAAGTAAACCTAGATAAATGCATCAAAAATCTAAACTTATTTATTAATATTAAATTTATATGCCCCCCCATCTCATTATCCAAGCAACTCTGGGTGGCTTACAATACAATAAAAACAATAAAACATTTTAATTAACAGGGGTGAATAAACCTGAATTTCCCTTTTTATTTTTTAATATTCACAGATCCGAGAGCTATTTTTAAATACACCTCTGTAACAAATCAATAAACAAATAAAACATATTTACACAATAGCTAGATCTTACAAAACAAAATGTGTGCAATTTAAACTGAAAGAAGGAAATTCTTTCTAAACTGCAAATGAAAGTATGTAGCTCATACTATAAAGTGCAACAAAGTATGGATGTGTTAGGCACCTGATTGCTCAACAGCCTTTAACATCCTTTCTGCAGGCTTCACACCAAAGATCAAAACAACGGAAGAAATTTCTGCTTTACTACTTGCTCAAACATTATTGCTGCATTTAATACCTAAAATTCTTGCTTTAGCGTTCTATAGTAGTTTTTCACATGTGAACGTAATTTTAAGAACATTAATCAATTCTGCATGTATTCATTTCATCATTTTCTTTCCCTGTATCTGATGAACTAACTGCTGTAGCCTGCCACTTTGCAAAACCTCTGTTATCTAGTGACTCTGATGTACAGTAGTTCTTTGGTGTGACTGTGTTGCAAATGCAGAAAAATTAACTTTGTAATTTACCTATCAGCATACTACTAAGCAAGTGTGCAGCCATGTTTACAATTCAAGCAAGACAGCAGTATATTAAACAGGAAACCTGCTAAGGAAATGATAACGTGAATGCAACATTTAAAATGTTTTGAGGATGGCAACATCTTTCCATAAGTCCTTTTTGTATAGTACTACTTTTTACATTGTGCAAATGTTCAGAAAGCAGTGGCTAGTGTGTTGAGTATCAGAAATTAAAAATGGCTTTTGCCCAAAGCTCACAAATTCTTCCCAGAGAACAAACAGATCTTACAAGGCCACACATTTCAAAAAAATTTCTCTCATCTGAATGGAAATGTCTCAAAGAGGAATAACAAACTTTAAGTTATACTTACGAGGCATGATCCCTTGACTAACCAACTCTTCACGTGTCCGTCGTTGCTGGAGTTTCAACTGTAGCACTGCATAAGACAAACAAAGATGTAAGTGAGGAGCAAATCACTGTAAGATATACAGTGCAGAGCACATTTTCCTGTTCATTTTTATTTTCTTCTATCTCAAGAACATTAGCAAAGAGCAGAGAAGCTGTAATCCCCACCCAACACTTGCAAATTGCAGAAGTGGCCTCAGCAACAAGGTTTCCGTATTCTGCAGCGGACGGCGGGAGAGGAAGTTACAAAGCATTTTAGTAGGCTGATTTTAAAAATCCACAAAGTATGAAAATAGGCCATTACTCAAGAATTCCTATAGTAACAAATAGAGTTGCAAATCATGAAACTAGAAAACAAGAAGACACTACACAAACTGATACTGCTCCAGTAGGATGTTATCGAAACAATGGTTGCTGAAATATCACTTTATATACACCTAGTTCAGAAAACCTCTAGAATAGAGGTGTCAAACTGCCGGCTCACGGACTGAACGCATCACATAAAAGCCACGCCCACCCCATTGCCAGCAATGGCAAAATTGTCCTGATACGTTGCACGACATCACATGATGTTGTGTGTTTGACATGTCTGCCCTAGAACATGCCTATTTGGGATAATTCCCACAATCCTCCCCTTTTGGCACCTAGATCAGGGGTGTCAAACTCAATTTCATTGAGGGCCACATCAGCATTGCGGTTGCCCTTGGGGGGGGCCGGGTAGGTGTGGCCAGCGAGGATGTGGCCTACTGGGTGTGTGTGGATGGAGTGGGTGTAGCCTACTGGGTGGGCATGGCCAGCTCTACATCGTTCGTGTCAAGGGTGCCTGCGGGGGCCTGGGCAGGAGTGGGACAGATCTGAGGGTCTCTGGCAGAAGGAGGTGGGACTGGGGCAAGTGCCAAGGCAGGGTCCATTTCTTCATTCCTTACAAAGGGTGACACCTCCCCAGCATGCACCCAGGGGGCGGGGCCGACACTGCAGGGGCTGATTCCTCGCTGTTTCTAGACGGCCTTGTGGAGCTAAGACTGAATGCGTTTCAGCATAGATGGCCACCACAAAATTGTACATTGGCTCCCGGCCGGCCAGGGCCAAGGCCAAGGCAGTGGGGGCCGTTCCCTCACTGTTTCCAGGATGGCTTTGCGGGCTGCATGAAACCACTTTGCGGGCCACATCCGCCCCCCGGGCCTTGTGTTTGACATGTCTGACCTAGATGAAGCTGATCCATGATGAAACTTAAGTCTGAAAGTTACCAAGATTACCTACCTCTGACGTACACTAACACTTATGACGAGTGGATATCCATGAGGCTTATTTCATTAACATCTGCAAATTACACTACTATTGCTATTCCCTCCCTCCTTCCCTTCCTTCCATATGTATTTGCATGCATGCATGTTTATTCCAGGAATCTTCTTTTTTTTTTTTCATTTCAAGAGTTAAGAGAACTTTTAGGTCTTCCTGATTAGGAACATATAGCACAGAAAACATTCTTTGTTGTTTCATTCCTACTACTGAAGTTCTTGGTCAAAGGCAATTTATTCTTCACTGTCAAAGAACAGAAAAAGCACAAATATAAAATATTCCATATATATTCATAGGTAGGCTTATCTAACCCTTGAAATTTTAACCAAAATACAATGAAAAATGTGCCATCTGTGGACAAGCTAACTCTCAAAATTTTCATGATTTAATTTTCAAATTGGCTTATCAGTGGCGGTGCATTTTTCTTGCTATTTTAGTTAAAACTTTGAGGATTGGTTTATCCGCAGATGCATTTATCGGCAAATATTCATGGGCACTTTTAAAAACTATTACCATATAAAGGTCCATGAGTAATCCTTGTTACTGAGTGCCTGTTCAGTGACCATTCTAAGTTATGACATTGCTGCAAAAGGAGAGTTATGATCAGTCCTCAAAGTTACAGCCATTTGCTCTTTGTGAGCTTCACTGCTGGCTTCCAAAACACATATTCAGTGGGGAAGCGAGCAGGAAGTTACATCATAACTTACATTGTAAATCAGGATAGTCATTTCACATTTTACTTTACAATCACACAGCAGTTGGTAAGTGAGGACTACCTGTATACACATGAATAAACCTATCTATGGATAAGCTAAGTCTATTTGTTGGAGGGGGGTATATTTGGGGATCTAAAATTCTCATCTTATCCATGGTACCAATATTTTTAGGAAAAGAATTAGAAAATCATTTTTCCTAAAGAGTTTCATAACATTAATGTCATTGAAACTATAATATTTCAACTGTGAAGTTTGACATTCACAATGTAAGTATGGATGGCAAGGAAGTCAGAATTTTTGACTGACCTGATTTAATAGCTTCTCTCCTAGGATGAACAAACAAAACAAAATAGAAGTGTATATATCTTGATAAGCAGACCATATTTTTTCCCTTTATGGGTCTAACTTATTCAGGAGCAGATAAGCAGTCATTTGGACATCACAGTAAGGAAGGCACACACAACATTTTCCAAACCAGGGATTATCCTCGTATATAAAGGAAGGAACAGATCAAATAAAACATTGGGATTGGATAAGGAAATTAATTCTAATAATTAAATTAATGAAATACATTTAATGATTATGCCTGTGTATTTCTCTTCTGAGACATTAAAAAAATACAAACTAGCAATTTCTGCAGAGATGCTTGGGAAGATACACTCTAAACCTGTGACTAACAATCTACTATTAATATTTATTAATTGACTATTCACAATTTTTAAAAGTTTGACTTCCTAAGACTTACAAAATTCATTCTCATACGTTTACACTCTGGTTAACTGAACAGAAAAATAATTAGAGATGGATAGGTATGATAGTTTCTTTCAGCAAAAATAGAATCTTATAGCAGTGCAAACATTCACATTTATTAAAGCATATTATTTCCTTATATTTACTCTGAAATGATTTTTAAAAGCATATTAATTCTATATATGAAATTGTAAAATTATGAAATTACTGATCGTGGCTTCACTTGATTGCTACATTGTACTGAGAGGATGGATCAAAATTGTAATGACAAATTGTTTGCATAGGAAGTGAAAACACCCATTCTAACCAGACGAAAATATAGAAGACCTGCAGATATGCTGAAAGTAGTTATTAAATTAGCTATAGATAAAAATGTAAATGATTGTTCTTTTATAAGTGCTATAAGGCTACTGCTTTTCACACATTCTTATTTTACAGTACAAAATTCTATTACATTCTGTGATGTCTGCAAAAGTGATTTCTTGATTTAAGCTAAACCAATATTGGCTGCTATTGATACTATTTTTGCTTTTCATTTTTTGGGACAAACCAACATCCTGGCTGAGATTCCAAACCCTAATCTTTTAATCAACAGATTGTTCACATACATATCTAGCATTAGATGGGGTGAAACATTTTTTTCACTGAATAGTTATGAATAGTCACTAGCACTTCAGGTTTTTGCACCAGTCAACTGCAACAATCCAAAATCTATTACAGCACCTTATTTGGGATGTATAGGATTTGTTCAAGGAGGCAGGAGCATTCCAGGTTTTTAGAACCTCTCAGTGTGAATTTTCAGAATAGTGGGCAGTGCCTGTTCCTATTTATGTTCCTATCTTCCTATTTTTGGCAGAACATGCAAATGGGATGGATCTCTTTCTGCAACCATCAGCAAATCCTGTACAAGAAGATGGCATCATAAAGTAAGATAGCATGGAACAGACATACATCTAGAGAACAATGAGTGTTTGCAGAGTAAATGGAGGTCCAAGACCACCTTGGAAGAAAATACATTTTTTAATACAGGTCCAGCTTTTCCTTTTCAGCACAGAAAACATAAAGTTAACTCATTCAAAAGGCAGTTGTGACTGCAATCAAAATAGTTCCCTTCCAAGTGAGTTTGGACATTTATGGCTGACCAATGGCTCAAAAGATACTGTAAAATGCTAAGAAAAGAACAAGAGGTACTATGAAATGTCAAAAATAACAGAAAAAAATATACTTTCAAAATTGATTTAACCAAAGTTTGAGAGATAAAATAAAGCTACTGAAGCTATAAGGTTATATCTTTAATGACAAGCGTCTTCATTTTTAATTGCAATAGGAATTTCATAAATATGGGAGACAGAACAACCATAAGGAAGAATTCCTCCTCCTACACAAAGGATATGAAATAGTTCACTTAACTATATAATGAAAATGTTATCAATATTGAGAATTTGAAATGTACATTATGCCAGAAGTTTGAGAATAAATTAGTCAGCACAAAATTGTAGTGTTATTATATAGTCCAAAGGTCCTACCTGATCAGAAGCCAAAGAATTTAGAGAAGAGGCAACTGTACATCTACAACTGACACAATCGCTACAGAACTAATCGGGTGCGGTCTGTATAGTTGTGAAAAATCTTGCATAATAAAGAGGTATGGAACCTACAATTTCAGCTAAATAGAAAGTATTTATTTATTTATTTATTTATTTATGAGACTTATATACCGCTTTAAGTGCAAGCACTCTCTAAGCGGTGTACACCAGTAAGCAATGTATATATATATATATATTTACATTGCCCCCAACAATCTGGGTCCTCATTTTACCTACCCCGGAAGGATGGAAGGCTGAGTAAACCTTGAGCCGGTGAGATTTGAACCGCTGACCTGCTGAACACAGTCAGCTAAAGTGGCCTGCAGTACTACACTCTAACTGCTGCGCCACCTCGGCTCATATCTCCCAATAATCTGAAACTAAGCTTGCCTCTACGGATGCAATTATGCTGGCAGCAGCCATTAGAATGAGTGACCAAGTACTTCTACCTAGACACTCTTTCAAGCACCACTGTAGAAGAGGAAAGCAAGGATTTCCACTTAAGTTCTCATTTGAATTGAATTGATAATATCTGACTGAGTGCATCTATCTTTCCATACATCTTGGATGACTCCCACAGGAAAGGCAGAAATGAACTCTAGGCCATAGCCAAAGACTATTAGGGAAAGAACTCAACAACCTATTGTTGAAGTATCCCATTTGAGGAGGAACAGTTTATC